GACACTACGCCACGCCTGCCACGTTAGAGGTAAAGGTACGGCCCTGAAATTACAGGGCGCCACGGTGGCGAGATGTTAACTACCTCGCCTGGTATACAGGAGATCGTGGGTTCAATCCTGACCCTGACACTTGTTGTATATTTGGAGTTTGCACGTGGATTTTATCTCCAGGTTTCCCTTCCACATTTAGAATCAACGCGCGTTTAGAGTTTTTGGCTGTTATAAATGTCCACGCGATGAGCCACTTTGTTGAACTATCATTTGTGGCCAGGTCGCTTCTGAAAAAGAGCTACATAGCTCAGTGGGCGTTTCCTGGTAAAATAAAAATAGTTCAGTTTAGTTAACTTCAATCTTAGATAACTTGAACGCACCACTGCTCGCGGCAGGGCCCTCACTCGAGGGAGCACGAGAGAGCCCCTACAGAGGATATTTATCCAGATGTATTGAAAGAGGTATGGGATATAATCGGCGATAACATATAAAAAAGTACCTAAACAAATACAAGTGGACTTGGGATAACAAATGCACCATGCTCATTATATGGAAACCAGTGATGGCCTGGTGGTCAAAAAAGGAAGGTCATTTGGTGGTAACCTCCAAAGGGGAGATGAAGTTGCGGAATCAAGTTCACCGTGTGTTAAACGTGATTGGTCGCAGCTGCACAACACCAAAGGCAAAGCTGTCAAATAAATCCGGAGGAACACCTTCATCTAGCAGCGAAGAGTGAATGATGATGATCAGGTCAAAGGTCAATTTTCCACCCGACAAAAGCACATATGCCCACGGTACCGATTAACCCAGTGCAAAAGCACCCTCTTTCCCAGCTCCTTAATCTCCCTGCCATACCTTGTGCCAACGCGCCTCTCACCCAAGATTACGGTGATGTTGAATCACCAGTGATGTAACTGAAGAGTGAAACTCTCGCTCGTGTGTGCATCTGTGCGTCCGAGTGCGCGCGCTCTGTCCAAGCAGTGCGGAGAATTTGGCCCAAGTGCAGGAGTGTCACGCAGCGCTCTGGCTGCATCTGCTTCACAGTAGCCGGCCGCAGGAGTGGCTGAGGTTTGACTCGCAGCCAAAAGGGATGAGGGTGCCTTGATATCCTGAGCCACATGTGGCTCAGGGGAGGATAACAACAGCTGTTATGTTATTGTTGCGGGAGTGCGTCGCCAGCGATGGTAAATCTAATTCAACTTCTTACGAGGCATAAACACACCATCGCGTCTAATTGCCAACCAGTTTTAACGGCTCTCCGGTTGTTTGTATATGCTCAGCTTGTTCGTGACCACAAACGAAACGACATCAACCGTTTGAATTATCATTCGAGGTCAAAGGTCGAGCAATCTCCTCCTCAATTGCTTGCGCGCCACTCGTCTTTTGTTCACAGCCCGGAGTCGTTGGCGGAAATTCCACATTCTCTTGCGACCAGATCGCCCGGAATGCACCCGGTTTTGCCAGATCTCGAAAGCCAAGCAGCGTTGAGCCTGGCTTTGCGGCTGGATGGGTGACCACCATGCATACGACTGGAGTTGTCGGCTGCTGCTGGGCTACGTAGTCAGTTAAGGACAGGGCAGCAATATTTATTGTTGGTGTACTCCTATGCTCCAAAGTCTGTGCATCCCACCTACACTCGTACGCACTGACCAGTGTAGTGAAGTGTGGTCGATTAACCTCCCCATCGCATGCACGGTATTGAGAAGTCCGCATGCAGTTGTGGCAAAGGGCTGCACGTAATTCGTGGTGTGGCACAATGTAATCATCAACACCGTTAATTATTCATGACATGCCTGTGGGCACAATGGGTGGATTAAATTATGCTTGTGTCACTGATTTTTAGTGTGGGCTCAATTACAAATTCTCAAGTTAATTTTTCCTTCGGGCTGAATAACAGCACTGGGGAACCTGCAAATGAATTACACCCGTCTGCATATTTATGCGTTGTGTGTATATATATAATGTTATATTCTATACGTATATAAAAAAATAAACCCTAAATATTCCACACACACACACACATAGGAGTTTCCGCTATCCATCTCCTTGACAATAGCTGGTAAAAGTTAGCCTCACTTGACGCGTGGAATGCGTGCACCGGCGGTCACTCAGCCCCCCTCCGACCGCCCCCCTCGACTGCTCGGCGATGGCTCGTCAGGACCCAAGTGAGAGAACGCAGTGGCGGGACTTCATCTGACACCCAAGGAATTTCCCTCCCGTGCATCGCTTGGTGGGTGGTGGTGGAGGGGGCGGGATCTCAAAAACCGCGTTGACCGAGAGCGACACCACGTGGATTCTTTACAAGGAGTCTTGTTGTTGCTGAAGCCAAAATTTGCCTGAGATTATGAACAAATTAAGGGGGGAATGGTATAATTTGGCGCAATTGCTTTGCTCATGCAACTTGCTGGCAGATGAGCGCTCCCGCTTGACGGAGGGCTCAAGAAAGCCCCGACGCTTCCACCCTGGCCAGACGGCTTGGGAGATGTGGGAATTACCCACGTTTTACTCCCCCCCCCCTGCCCCCTCCGCCGTACACGTGTGGTGTCTCTAGGTGGACGGGGGAGGGTTCACGACGCACCAGGCCATTGATCTCCCACACCGGGGCGATTGAACCCGGTGACCTCTGGGCTGCGAATTCCAGCGTGCTAACCATTACGCCATGGCAACATCCCTGAGATAATAACACTGGTAATCGTCACACGATAAATACTGCAAAAGCAAAACAAAAGTGTGGTTCAACAAGTTTGAGCGAGGAAAAGACCTTTGAAGGGACACACCAAAAAAGTCGAAAACGCGGCAGAATGCGTGCACCTGGGGCAGTCATTCGAGAAGGATTCAGAATCCAAACGATGAAAAACAAAGGGGAATAACAGGAAGATGACGTTCCCTTTGGATACGCGATCATAAGAAGGGCCGCCCCTACCACCCGGTGGTGACCCATCCAGGTAACAGCCAGGCTCCATACTGCTCTAGCTGTCCGAGATCTGAACAGATCAGGTGCATTCGGAGTCAATTTTGGTTGTGGGATTAATGCCCATAACACGACTCGCTTTTGTAGGGGGGGACGGGAAGGTGAGATGCGGGGTCGGTTGGAATACGCGAGCAGTCGTGCAACCGCACGAACGGGAGCTGGTGCAATCGTCGATAAAGGTGCAACCCTGCAATTGCTTGCTCACACGACTGTTGGTGGAAGGCCATCCGCTCGTCGGCAGCCCAGAGAGCCCCTCCAGGCGGGAACTTGGCCTACTCTTCAACCCTGGCCAGACTTATCTTGGAAGCGGGCGACTGGTAGAAGTGTAAAATTATTCAGAGGTCATTTAACATCAAAAGACTGCGGTTGACATTTTGGTATGCTTTCAGCTCATTGTGATTAGTTCATCGAGCCGTATGACCTTATAATTAGACGTGCATAATAACTCTGAATGTGAGAGAAATATGGCATCCACTAATAGCAGTGTACGCATGGTGGCCTTCCCGTTAAAACAGCGTGCAATTCATTTTGACACCCTAATGATCCTCGTGTACGAATTCATTAATTATTCTGCAGTCAAAATTGCCTTCGTGGGTTACGGTCATAATTGCACGTCAAGCAGTGGTCCTTTCCAGTTCTAACTTTCATCGGATTTGATCATTTCCTGTAAGTTTCGCGTGGGATTTTAATTGCGTTAGCTGCTACATATAGCTCCCCCACCTATCGAGCGACCTAAGGAGGAACGCACAGATTGGGGGATATGATGGGAAGAAAAGACATCTTGTCGATTGCTGTGACGAGTGTGTGCTTGGAGCAGGCCATGTCACTAACTAGGAGTAAGACCCACGTTTGAGACTTACAACGGAGCGGCAGTAAAGGGACGATTTTCTGGTTTATCCAGGATGCTTTTGTTGCGCGTCGTCGCTTTAAGATGTTCTGTGTTCATATTTTGTTTGTTGCGGTTGCACCCGACTCAAGAGCCGCATGGCTCACAGGGCTCTACCTAATACATGAAACTTGAAACTTGAAAACTTGAACCACACTCGAGAGTAGATCCACGGCAGCGATGGAGCAATGAAATCAGACGATGCACAGGTGCTCTTCGTGATGGTTGTGTGGCCGTACTCTATGTACGTTGAACTTCTTTCGCACCGTACGTAGCCAACCATGCAAATCGGAGGTGCGGGGGAAGGACAATAAACTGAACACAAACAGCAGTCCTAAAGAAATTAGTTTTCAACATAGATTTAAAAGTGCACAGCTAGAGTCGCTTCCTAATATCGGAAGGAAGAGCGTTCCAGACGGCCGCAAAAATTACCATCTTTGTTCGATGGCTGCCAAAAGCCGCTGCGAGGAAGACCTGGACAGAGTGCAATAGCTTTAGGAGACATTCATCCAGCAGCAGATGGATCATGGCCGATCACAATGATGGTGATATATACATGCATATATATATATATTTTAGCTGAACTAGAGGAATGTTGAAATTACAGTCACTCTTTGCAAAAAACGTACGCCCACAGTCGTCCTCTCTCCACGCGGCCTCCATGGACCATGAAGGCAAGCGGCGGTGTAGGAGTGTGAATGTCATGATATGTGAGGCCGACCCAGCAAACATTGCATTGTTGGTGAAGGGGCCGGAGGAGCGAGGACCCGCCACTGATGCTAGCGGGGTGCATTCGTCACCGAGCCACCGCTCCACCCACTGATAATTAATTTATGAAATAACGCATTTTCAAGGTAGTTGTATTGACCTATATAACACACATCCACACGGACACAGATAACGAGCACTACCCAGCGTAGCATGGCAATAAATTCAAACGTACTATGTTCTTCATAATTGCTTTTATTTCATATTAAACTATTTTGTGTAACAAACGTATGGAACACGCCCTTTAATAGTCGACATGCTACTTGTGAGCCAAGCAGCTTCCCACCGCCGTCCCCATTACCTCCTCCCTCCTCCTCCTCCTCCACCCCCGGTGCGGCACAGAGCCTTCGATACAAACGCAACAATCTGCGGCCGCTCGTCCGCTCACAGCCTCGTGGTCGCAAACGAGTCCCGGTGGACGGGCCGCTTGGGAGCCCCATCCTCCTCGCACGTGTCGTAGGACTCGTCCGGCAGCGTCGGCGAGCTCCGCGTCCGAGGCGAACGGGGGCGACGGCGCGCACGCGCCTTTCGTCCGTTCGCGCCCGTCGCCCCGCGCCGTGCCGGTGCCGCCCGCCGGAACCCGCCCTCCCCTCGACGACCACGGCCGCGACGTCACGGTCGCCACGCTCAAGAAAGCCGCCGGGGCGCGAGGGAGCGCCCGCTCGTCCTGAGCGTCCGCGAGCGCCCGGGATGCCCCGCCCGGCCCGTCGTCGCGCCCGCCCCGTCCGGGCAGCCTGTCCACCTCCTCGGACACGGTGCGGATGGCGCCGTTGAGCTGCGACGGCGCCGCCGCCGCCGCGGCCTCGGCGGAGGGCGAGGCGTGCGGCTCTCGCGCCGTCGCCGCCGTCGTCGCCGCGACGCGTCCGCAGCCGCGGCTCTTCACCTTCGACCTCCAGGCGAAGACGCGCTTGCGAGACAGCGACCTGCGATCGTCCAGGCGTGCGCACGCGGCGCTGGTGGAGTCCGTGTCGTAGATCAGGACTCCGTTGGGGCTGAGGCACAGGGGCGCCCGGACGGGCGGTGGCGGCGGTGGCGTCCACCACGGCGAGCGACGACGCGGCGCCACGGGCCTCCTCCTCCTCCTCCGCCGAGCGATCGCCGCGGGAGTCCGCCGCGTTGAGGACGTCGCCGCGGTCGGCGATGCGCTTCCGGGACCCCTTCTTGAGCAGTCCCAGCACCTCGTAGCGGAAGCTCGAGATGTCTTGCTTGAGCTCCTGAGCAAACGGGGACACACGTTGGCTACGTACCGGTGCGAAAGAAGTTCAGCGCGCATGCGCACATGCACATACACACGCACATACGCACGTGTGCACGTGCGTATGTGCGTGCGTACTTGGATGGCCCTTTTATCAATCCACCGCTGGATGGTGGTATCCCCACACCGCGTGAGCCACGGGAGTTAATTGACCCATACTTCGCGCGGCTATGAAAGGCGGGAAGTAAAGATAGGGGGATAGAAGTACCGTACGATAATGGATGTTGGTGGACTGCCCTGCGCTGCCCGCAGCACTTTTAACGTAAACCGTGACTTGGATAATGACGTAGCTTAAAGCGCAAGCCTCTCACAGCGGTCGCGGTGCATTGTACAAACATGCAATCGTTAAATGCTACCTTAAAGTTTTCTTCCGTCAGACCCTCCTCCGTCCTCGCTTCTCGTATCATCGCAGCGACGTAGCGCTTCACCAGGTTCTTGATGACCTCCTGAACGACCGTGCACAGTGCTTGGGTTTGTTCGAGTTCATTTCATTCGTTACACGGACGCACCCCTTTAGCCGGTTGCCCGGCTATTTTACAAAGGGGTGGGGGGGATGCGTGGTGCTGCGTGAGCACAGCAGCAACGAAGACAAAAGACAACAGCAGAGCTTGTCCGTGATCGAACCGAAAACAAATGAAAATTAAATATGTAAGTTCAAATGCCCCCTTGATGAACGAGGTTCATTAATTCCTTAACCGCTCAGCGGGTGTAAGGCTTACTTCACCAGCTCTCAATCCGGAGCCTCGACATTTGACTCACGAATTAGGATTTCGAGTTTCCACATTAATCGACAGAGAAAATGATGAAAAATAAGAATAAGTTTTACCATTCCGGTAATAAAACAGGTGTTAAGATATTCTTGGTTCTTTCGGTAAAGTCACGTAGAAGGGAAATAATAAAATAATAAAAATGAAACATAATAAAATTCTCACGACGTTTCGGCCACAACGCAAAAATCCCCTGTGGGCTGGTGGAACCAGGTGGTTCCTACCAGTATTAGTTTTCAATCTAGATGATTTAAAAGTGCATAGCTCCAATGGCTTCCTAATATTGGAAGGAAGAAAGTTCCAGACGGCTGTGGAAGCGCATTTGAAAGCGTGCGATGCAGTGGCCGTCTTTATTCGATGGGAGCTTTTAAATAAACATAATTGATCAGTTATTCAGCTCATCGCGAAGCTCCCAGGATGTTCGGATGAAGGTCGCAACACGTGGAGCGAATCTTCAGGCATCAATCCGAATGACACGCGTGTTCAACCCAAACACACCACGGAGTTGTATACAGCACAACCGCAAAAAAAAACCTACACAGTGCGATTATATTGTCACGATGGCAAAGACGATACACATCTGGCTGCCTAGGTGTCATTTAAAAAAAAAATACGGACGAAGATGACGTGTTCACTTCAAAGTCATACATCCTGGAAGACAGGTGTTTGGGACAGTTGCTATTTAAAGTGCCAAACAATAGCGCGCAGTAAACCCATCTGAAACATCACGCCGGCCACAACAATTACGCACTTGTGGTGACCCCCGCTTACACACCTGGTACTGGTGGTTGCGTCTCAAGTTGTCGGCCGCACGTCTCTGCAAACACAGCGATGACACAAGCACATTTGACTCGATCCTCATCAGCGGAGGGCAGCAGCTCCGTCCCTCTAGAGGCCACACACACACGACCTCCCTGCCACATCAAAACGATCACCGGACGAACGCGTTTGACTAGCGCCGACACAACAGGTGGCTGGGGGCACCGAGGGGTCACAGCGCTGCCGACTCCCACTCTCCCCGTTCGAGTCCAAGCTCAAATCTTTCCTCGTCTCCTCTGCCGATGATTGACTGCCTCTTCTTCACTTTGAAGTGTCTCGTACGGCACCGTCGCGTGGCATCATCTCCCTAGCTGACCTGCAGTCGCCTACCATCTACCGGTACAGCAGCATTTGTAAATGTAGGTCACATTTAGTTGCTCAGTAGTAACAAAAGCTTTCCATACGATCAGTTGTATGTATGTTGCACTTCTTTCGCACAAGACATAACCAACAGCGCAAATCGGAGGTGCGGGGAAGGACGACACAAACTAAACACACAGAGCAAGGTGAGCTGTGTGTCACGTGCTGGTTTCTCGGACGTCATTCCCAGGAGTGGCCACGCTGGTTCAGACATCACTCGCCACTGGTGTTAGCCATCGACCTCGGGTGGGTGGGTTCATGGCGCAGGGTGATAACCGGTGAGCCACCGATTAACCTCGCTTCAGAAGGAGTTGCTGGCCCACTGGGAGGGATGGGGTGGCCGAAAGTAAAAAATATTTTTGGGAGCCCCAAGTTCCATTTACAAAATGCCAGTGAGATGACAGAACAGATATGAACAGGAGATCGAGACGTAGCGAGATGAGAGTAGAGCGATGCAGACGAGATAGAGATGAGAGAGATTAATTCGATCTTGTAATGTGAATGATCACGTTATGATTATCATGCGAAATTAAGCCGACCTTTGCCACACTCATAGATTTCCATGAATCTGCGGTCGGGGGGGGTGGCGGGGAGGGGAGAATTGCTATCTGCTTGTGGCGGTGTATGTGTGTGGGAGGGATGGGTGGGTGGGTGGCTTAAAGCTCGAGCTTGGTGTTGCCCGTGCCAAGCGCCACCGACTGGTTACCAGCGTCATTTGGGCCCGCACTCCCAGCGTCCCGAGGCTCTCGTGTCTCTTCCGTCGCGCGCTCAGGAGGCTGCACGGGCAGAGGCGGCGGCCGAGCCACTGGCACAGGTACCACACGGACTTGGGGCTCGGGATGATGTTGAACGGGGTCGGGAGGGTGCCGCCCTCCTCGAAGTAGCTCATCCACAGCTTGGTGCGCGCAAACTTCCACTCGATGTCGGCGTGGTCCTGCGCGGGCGGGGGAGACGGAGGGAGGGAGGGAGGGAGCGGCACGTGTGCGGGACTCGGCGTTAATGCCGAAGCTGGCGCCGAGTGCGGGAAGAACGATACGCGGGGTAAGGCCCGGGGGCGGCAACTGCGTCGCTTTTGGGCCCTTTTGTGACTCGTTTCCCCAATGGGTTGACCCTGCCCATCGGGTTGACCCTGCCCACCGGGTTGACCCTGCCCACCGGGTTGACCCTGCCCACCGGGTTGACCCTGCCCACCGGGTTGACCCTGCCCATCGGGTTGACCCTGCCCATCGGGTTGACCCTGCCCACCGGGTTGACCATGCCCACCGGGTTGACCCTGCCCACCGGGTTGACCCTGCCCACCGGGTTGACCCTGCCCACCGGGTTGACCCTGCCCACCGGGTTGACCCTGCCCACCGGGTTGACCCTGCCCACCGGGTTGACCCTGCCCATCGGGTTGACCCTGCCCACCGGGTTGGCCCTGCCCATCGGGTTGACCCTGCCCACCGGGTTGGCCCTGCCCACCGGGTTGACCCTGCCCACCGGGTTGGCCCTGCCCATCGGGTTGACCCTGCCCACCGGGTTGGCCCTGCCCATCGGGTTGACCCTGCCCATCGGGTTGACCCTGCCCATCGGGTTGACCCTGCCCATCGGGTTGACCCTGCCCATCGGGTTGACCCTGCCAACAGGATTCTGTGAGCGAAAGAACCTCGTGGGTGGAGCTGGCGAAGGATGCCTCGTGGCTGTAACGGGTCGGATCGACCGTGGGGTGCGCCACGGTGGGGAGATGTTAACGACCTCGCCTGGTATACAGGATGTCCTGGGTTCGAGCCCGACCCTGACTCTTGTATCTTTGGAGTAATGCATGTTCTGCCACGTGGTCTCGTGGGTTTTTCTCCGGGTGCTCCGTTTTATTCCCCTCCACATTTAGAATCAACACCCGTTTAGAGTGTTTGTCTGCGGTACATTTCCACGTGATTGAGCCACTATGTTGAGCTAACATTTGTGGTGGCCAGGTGGTTTCTGAAAAAAAGAGCGGTATAGCTTAGTGGGGACTTATATCTGGTAAAATAAATAAATGTTTTAAATAGTCGTTACTAGTTGTGTCGAAGACTCGGTGATGGCATTGGTGACGGAGCGAACCGAACGGCATACGAGTACAACAGCAACATAATGCGACGGTAAATCCGAGATGAAAGAGAGTTTGATCGTCGAATCAAATCGCGACACTCCGTGGTGCTCGCAGCGCTTCTTCATTGAGTTTTGCAAATCGGTGGATGATGATCGCAACGGTGTCCAAATGTTAAATTGCGCGTGGCCCACGGGGTGAGTCAAAGAGCACTTGTGAATCCTGAAATGTGTTTGCTGTCTGGCTGAAATGGAGCTTATTGTGTGCCTAGCTCTTCATAATGAAAGGTTTATTGTGTGGGGTCTATGACCCCTAATTATCATGAAGTGTAATTGACGGCGATTTAAAAATGGTTTCGCATTCTGTTTAGGATTTCGTTATAATTCCATATTTGTTAAATCCAATTAGGGAGAACACCATCTGGCTGAAATGTTGATGGCTTTAAGCTGGTAAAAAAGAACCGAGCCCCATTTTTCTGTCATAAAGCACAGGCAAGACACATTAACGTGAGCGCTGATGTGACACTAACGGTCATGCATGAGCATCGTGCATCATAGATCAGCGAATCTAACCCAACAACAACAACACGCATTTCTGATTGCCTATCAAGATTTATCGATGAGTTTGTCATTATACTTCCATTTCTCCCCACTCCATAATTAATTGTGTTCATTTTAGACACCGAAGCGGAGAATCCCACCATCAGGCCCGCATGATCGCGTGGCAGCACACAGTGCTGCCACGTGATTCACTTTTTAATTGGCAACAGTTGGAGGTGTAAATGGCTGGAAATAAAATCGGACCCTAGAGGCCTTAAGAGCTGTGCATTGTGATCATTCGGTCTAAGCGCTTGGCAGTGTGCACATTTAGAAATATCATGATTTTTTGACATCACGTGCGTTTGACACAGAAAAAAAATGTGCCTTTTAAAACCCTCCAAGTCAAGGCGAGTAGTTTGCCCGCATTTTCATATGAGTGTCTAAGCCAATGTGTGAGTAACATATGACAGTGGTAACTGACAGCCGATTAAGACGTAGAAAACATTACCGTTGTACTTGAGTGCGTTACTTGGCTGGCGTTCATTATCCATTTGGCCTTGCTACGAGGCCGTAATGCTACTGCGTGCTGTCGTTATGTTTTACTCTTGCAAGCAGCTGTTTAGTGACTCCGTTGCACTCGCGTGGGCTTTGTTCGGACAACGAGGCGGTGTCCAGAGACCTCGCACGGACAATTAGTGTTGTTACAGGAGGGGTTAGAAACCTTGGGGGGCCAAACAGGACTTTAAAAACAACCTTTTTTTGCAATGCCACGCTTTAACACACTGCTGTCACTTCCTTACAGTGACGGATGTGACGGCCAGGTCAAAAAATATCTGCCCCCCCTCCAGCACCTGATAAGTGTGGCTAAGATGCTCGCGACGATGGCGAAATATTGTCTGCGGGCCGTTTTGAAGTGCTATGTCACGTGATGCCTGTGGGTTCTCCACCCCTGTGCCATCAGAGGGAGGCGCAAACTCCAAATAACAATCAACAGCAGACAACCTTTGCTGTGCACAAGCACTCCAATTCGCCGTGCAAAGATTGCGTTTCTTCTCATGATATTTCTTTTGTAGTGCCATCTAATGGGTGGGTCATGACCGTGCTTCACCGTACCGGTTAGCGCCGGCTTGGTGAAGAAAGATATCACCCACCACTGATGATGCTCTACAGCCGTGGGCGGGAATCAAACTCAAGTGGCCACGTTCTTAGCGTGGTGCAGGCAGTGTGTCCATTGACTGCACCAGCTGCGCACCACCCGACTGCAATATATGGAGACATTTTTAACAGAACGCGTTCGGCTTCTGGCGTGGAGTTTTTAGTTTGGACACGGCCAAGTACGGAATGTATCTGCTCGCCGTATGACGAAAGCCACGACGTTGATTTGCTCACGGTAATTATTTTTTAAGTTTCGAGCAATTCAATGAGGTTCGGATGTGCTGAGAGTCACTGGAGGGCTATGAGAGAGATGCATTCGGCATAACTCCATTGTTGCGTGTGTAATTGTCCCTAACGGCAATGCATTTATCAATTTCGTTTGATTCGGATGTAAGATTATTAGCAGGGGGCTCGGTTCAAATGAAGTCTAAAATTAGGTCAGTCTAACTTTACAGTGTAGAGCGGTTCATTGTTTTTGTTTAACATTTTGCTCGATGCGCATGCATTGTCCTGGGTGGGATACACAACGCCGTGGGCGTGAGGCAGTGGCGCAGTGATCAGCACGCCGCACCATGAACCTGGGGACCTGCTTTCAGTTCCTGGCCACGGCTAACGTCGGTGGCGGCGAGGGATATCTGAAACTCAGCTTTATGTCCCCGTCCTTCACCAACCCACGATGGCCAATTTGATGACGTTGTAGCCCAGCGCTCCTAACGCACTGGGCACGGTGTTGAACGGGGGCCCTCATTCTGCTGCGGCATTAAAAAGGCGTTGCGCATGGACCGTGCGAAGAAGTCGCGACTGAGTGCGTGTGTGTGCGCGCGCACGTACGTGTGCGCACGTGCGCGCGGGCACGTGAGACGGGCAAGTGAGTGTGTGTGTGTGCGTGTGCGCACGTGCGCGCGGGCACGCGAGACGGGCAAGTGAGTGTGTGTGTGTGCGTGTGTCGCGCCGCATCGTGAGAGTGCGCACGCTGATAATGCTGGACTCGCCGCTCCTCACCGCGATGAGCTGGTACGAGTTGTTCATCATGGCGATGAGCATGTTTAGCAGCACCACGAGCGAGATTACGTTGTACGTGCCGAACATGGTGGCGCCCACAAACTCGGTGAACTCGTGCCGTGGACGCACGTTGGTCACGTACAGGTTGATGAGCCCAAAGATGGACCAAAAGAGCGACTGCAGCGTTTCAAACAGCCTGTACGAGGGTAGGAAATAAACAAACACACAAAGAAAGATTCCCCCATTGTAGCCTTATAGACTGCTGCTGGGGCAGTCTATAAGGCTGCACGCCTTATAAGGCCCCGTGCGGCACACAGGGTTGTGGTCTTTAACTATTTGTTACTTGACCAGGTAAGGCCCACTGAGCTGTACAGATCTTTTTTTCGGAAGCGAGCTGGCCACAAATGATAGCTCAACGAAGTGGCTTATCACGTGGAAATGTACAGCAGCCAAATCCTCTACACGTGGTACAATCGGTATACCACGAACTTATCACCTTTGTCTGCCCATACCTGGTGTTTGCAGAATGTACCACGTACTTACTTAAGGCTGAGTCAATCTAGAGTAGGTCCAGAATAGGTTCAGATACCGCTTGCCACAGGTATTATTGATGGCCGGGAATCGAGCCGAGGCTGGTGAGATTATAGCACAATGCACTAACCACTTTGCCACCGCTCCCTTCACTGCATACAAGTGTAAATGCACACGTATGTGCCACGCGGACATACATGGATATGTGCGCGCGCACTCACACAGATGACTACGGTAATTCGCCGAACCAAAGTGATGCTTTACATTTTTTTTTCCGCAGCTTACCATGTGCTCCAGAGTCTCTTAAAATAGCTCAGCTAATTGGAGGCAGTTCTAAAATAAGGAAGAAAAAAAACATGCAAACGCCATGAATCATGCAACGTTTTCCAACATGCAGTTTGTCGTCGGCGGTGTTTAACGTGCGATTAGCAATGTTTCAATGCCGCACCACACAACGAGATGGCGTCACGTAGAAAGACACCATGGGGAAGCAAGGCACGGCGCATCCCGTGTGTGGCTTCATTGCCGCGGTCGAATTGGCTTATTTGACTTTCGCGCCGGTTTATATTTTTGTTCATTCCAAGGGTTTGGGAAACCCTTTCATAAATGTGGCCGTTTTTAGTTTTGTTTAGGTGTACAGAGCAAGTCACTTATAGCAGCAACAACAACAAACTACAATTATATTTCAATCGGATAATCCTTGACGAGAGTTATCATGACCCCCATGTTACAGACATAAAAAGGACAGAGCTGACAATGAAATGTGAAAAACATGAAAAAAAACACAGCAGGGCTCCAGCCGACGCACTGACTCACAGATAAACCATTCACCTCGTGACCGCACACAAGGCATTCAATCAAAGCACACAGACCGCACATTTGAAAGAAAAAACAACAAAACATCCGCGAAAGTGTCGAAAAGCAATAGAACCGTCCGAGCCGTCGCTCTCTCTCTCTCTTCCCGGTCCCGTTGTGGATACGCACGTGGAGAAGGCGTTATTCTGCTTCTCACATCGGATGCCCTTGCAGTTGTTCTCATCGTCCGCGCTGGTCTCGTAGTAGAAGTACAGCTGATTGAGCCCGTTGGCGAAGGCGAGCAGCACGAGGCAGTAGATGAAGAGGAACTTGAGGATGTCGAGCAGCATGCGGCCCAGCGAGATCTGCAGGGGCCCCAGGTGCGAGTTGGCCGTGAAGAGCGAGATGAGACGCAGCGAGCTGAAGATGTTGGCGATGGCGAAGAGGGCCTCGGCCACGAGCGTAGGGTGCCACATTTCCCAGTCGTCCCTCGGACGCGAGCCGTTGTACTGCGCAGTGGGAGGGGGGCACGCGGTCACACACGGTGGTCATCAGAACTGCCCGCGGTGTGGTTCTAAAGACAACTGCCTGATGGCAGGGGCCGATTCGCTCCGTAGGGTGAATGTCGAGAGATGGAATGAGGCACCGCCGCCTGGTCATTTCATGAGTTGGCATGGTTGGAAACGGGAATTGTTTGTATTGTTTTTGTTATTCATATTCAACGTTTTTGGGTTTAGATCGCGTTGTTTATAAATGTGTCGTAACCCTACACCACCCGACACGGCCAATCAGCAAAAAAGTGTCACGTTGACAAAAGACAAATAGTTCACTGCTTTAGCCCACCGGTGTGTTGAAGCGTGAAACCACAACATTTACAGTTTTTGAGTACGATGTTTCTCTGGTAATTGGCCGTGTCGGGTGGTAGAGGGTTACGACACATTATAAATAACGCGATCTAACCCAAAAACGTTGATTATGAATAATATTGGTCGCGAAATCCTACGTGTTAAATTTTTTTGTTGTTGTTGCATCTAATTTCTGAAGCACTGCTGAAAATTATTTGGAGACCCAGGAAAAAATAGTGGTATATCCCCCCCCCTTTGAAAATAACCCCCCGAAAATGAATAGGTACCTTCTGAGGTACCCCTCAGATCTGAGGCATAGGGCAAACAGCGCTACCTGCCTTCATTGAAATACAATTGGAGGAAAAGATAAGAAAAAGTGCAAAATTGAAAAGTATTAACCCGTTCCTGTTCTAAGACGTCTGCAAGTTGCAGGGTGGGGTCCCTCCCGTTCACCTCTGAGTCTCAGAAAGCACAAGAGGCTCAGCGTTAATTGTATTTAGAGAGGCGTAGCGTCGTTGTTTTTAAAGACACTGTACTCACCGCAGAGAACTGTAGCGACACGACCGCCCTCTACGATAGCTGGCGCCACTTTATTTTATACGCCCTCCTGCATGGCCTTGTGGGAGCCTCGATACCTATAAAGTTATTTTATTTCAGTTTTTCTTCCGGTTTTCTTTTTGATGATGGGATAGAGTTAATATAAACATGAAACAAAAATATCCCATGCTTTGATGCTGCTGCTGCTGCTGATAGTGCTGTGGGTACCTTGACGTACGCCACGACCTTGAGCGAGATTGTGGCAAGATACAGCGAGTTCATGACGAAGTCCATGAGGTTCCACCAGTCGTTGACGTACTGCATCAGTCCACGGTCCCACATCTGTTTGATCTCTGCCCAGATGAATCCTTCGAAAACAGCACACGCCATCACTCGATGTCGTCGTTACGCGTTTACCCAGAATCCTGCGCATTCGGTCAAGCGCCTAAGGGGCCGTCCATAAATGACGTCACGCGATTTTGGACGATTTTTGACCTCCCCCCCCCCCTTCGTCACACGGTGTCACAAAAAGTCAGACCCCCCTTAAAATATGACGTCACAAAGCTCTGCCCCCCCCCAAAAAAAAAATTAAACATGCTTCAAATCGCTTGAAACTATTGTCATTGTAGTGCGTATTCAATGTGGCGCTGCACTCTGATGTTGTAGGAGAAAATATTTATTAAAAAGTCTATTTCATTAAGTAGAACGTGTTTTCTATATTTATTTAAAGTTGCGCATTTTGATGTGACGTCACATTTCTCACCCCCCCCCCTCGTCACACATCGTCACAAATGTCTGACCCCCCCCCCTAGGTGCGTGACGTCATTTATGGACGGCCCCTAACCGCCTTCAGCCTGCTCACTCTAAACCGCGGCATTACATTTGATCAACAATCACTCGATTTAAAAGCCATTGCGTAATTACAAAATAATTTTGATTGGCCTATCTTCTCTTGCCATGGTGTACTGTTAAATTGTTTTCGACCGCTATTAAATTATATTATTTTTTAAAAACATATTTGAGGCATTCCTTTGAATCCCAAAATCACATTAAAACCAAAGAAAATGGTGATGATTTTTTATAATTTAGACATCAGAGGGTGAATACTAAAGCCGCCGTAAACACGTTTTTTAAAAATGATAGGAAGCCAAATTTAGTTCAGAAGCAATACATGAACACGTCACATTGACAAAGAAATCACAACAACATTAACCCTTTTAAAGTCCCTCGTATGGCTATACACGTCGCGTTTATGTTAACGAGTATGGTACATGATTCCACTGATGAGGGTTGAAGAAGACTTTTACATTTCTGTGGTGGGCCACACATGCTCACACAACTTCGACACTTAAAAAAAATCCCTCACAGTACGCAGCGTTGAAAATATCCCCCCCTCGAGATCTCGATTATTGTCGCTTGAGATGCTTGCAATGACAGATAATACTAATTGCATACGGCTTGCAGCCTCCTGTGGCCACTGGCCGTATGAAATGAAGTCGCGGGCCATAGGTTAATCACCCTTGAACTAAGCCCCGAGCCTCGTGTGAACCTGAGCTGGCGTATTCTCTGCATGTCCCTTCATGTCCCACGTGGAATGTGGCCAAGCTGACCCATGCTCTCACAGACTCACACGTTAAAGACAGAGATGCCCCGTGATAGCCCTTTAGCAGACTGTTGGGGCAAGTGCTGTTAGCGAGCGCCTATGAAGGCCGGCACGGCAGACGCGGGGGTGGGTGGCCAATGCCACGCCCGGCCGTATTTGTCTCCCCAGTGCTGATGTGTGCACACTGTACCAGGTAATCATTTGAGGCCGAGTCGACCTAGCAGAGGCTCACGACCAATTAAAAAATTCGGCACCGTTATTGGTCGTGAGCGGGGATAAAACCCATGTCGCCGGGTTTGTAGCGAGGGCACTAAATCACTACACCACCGCTCCCCACACACACAAAGATCCCCCGTATAGCCTTAACAGACTGTAGGGGCAAGTGCTGTTAGCGAGCACCTATAAAGGCCGGCACGGCACACGAGGGGGTGGGTGGCCAACACCACGCCCGGCCGCCTTTGTCTCCCCAGTGGCGATGTTCACACCGCACCAGGTACTCATTTGAGGCTGAGTCGACCTAGGGGAGACCCAGGACCGGTTCAGATAATCGTCATTGGTGTTGGCCGTGAGCGGGAATCGAACCCGGTTCGCCAGGGTTCGCAGCGCAGCGCGCTAACCACTACACCACCGCTCCCCACACACACGCGCACTGACACACAGACACACACGCGCACTGACACACAGACACACACGCGCACTGACACACAGACACACACGCGACACACACCATCACAGGCGCACTGACACACACACACAAGCGACACACAGACACACACGCGACACACACCATCACAGGCGCACTGACACACACACACAAGCGACACACAGACACACACGCGACACACACCATCACAGGCGCACTGACACACACACACAAGCGACACACAGACACACACGCGACACACACCATCACAGGCGCACTGACACACACGCGACACACACACACACACGCGCACTGACACACACACACACGTGACACACACACGCGCATTGACACACAGACACACACACGCGACACACACACACACGCGCACTGACACACAGACACACACGCGACACACACCATAACACGCGCACTGACACACAGACACACACGCGACACACACCATCACAGGCGCACTGACACAACACACGACACCATCACAGGCCCTGACACACACACAACACGGACACACACGCGACACAACACCATCACAGCGCACTGACACACACGCGACACACACACACACGCGCACTGACACACACACACACGTGACACACACCACACACGCGCATTGACACACAGACACACACACGCGACACACACACACACGCGCACTGACACACAGACACACACGCGACACACACCATAACACGCGCACTGACACACAGACACACACGCGACACACACACACACACGCGCACTGACACACAGACACACACGCGACACACACACACACACGCGCACTGACACACAGACACACACGCGCGACACACACACACACACGCGCACTGACACACAGACACACACGCGCGACACACACACACACGCGCACTGACACACAGACACACACGCGCGACACACACCGTCACAGGCGAACGCAAGCCCTCACCTACTATCCACGGCAGCACAATCCATTCCACTTTGGTCGGCGGCGGACCCTGCATGCTCAGGTCCGTCTGCACGATGTGCTGAGAGGCCAGCAGCAGGAGCAGCAGGAAGGTGAGGTACGATGCCGTGTGGCAGATGAACTTGATGAACGGCTTCTTGATGAAGACGCCGAACCTGCTTTTGGGCACGATCAGGTAGCAGAGGGAGAGCACGGGGAAGAGTAGGCCGATGGCGAGGCAGGTGAAGAGCTTGATGGCCCAGTGCCGCCGCCTCCAGCCGGGGAAGCCGTCGTACCACAGCGTGGCCAGCAGCTGCTGGCAGTTGGGCTGAGCGACGAACTGCGAGGAGAAAAACAACAACAACAACAAAAACAACAACAATAACAACAACAATAACAACAAGGCACGATCGCCACCAGTGCCAAGCGAGATACAGGGACGCCTCTACTTACGAACATCCGATTTACGAACAGACCTCTGGAAGTTTAACACGTGGCCTTTCGAGGCCAATATCTTCCAGCGTGGCCACTACATCTACGCCTCTGTATAAGGAACGAAACAGGTGGACTTCTCCACAAATATGGCTGTCGCCTGATGAAGCTGGTTGTAATTACTGGCGAAACGTCGTGCTCAGATTGTAAATGTTGTGGCTTGGCTCTCCAACACACCGGTGTGCTGTACTAGTGACGAATTGGCCACGTTCTGTTGACGTGACAACCCTTACTAGCTGGCTGTGTCGGGTGGTGGCGGGTTTTAATGACACTTTTATATATTTACGCGATCTAACCCAAAAAAAACCTCTATTATGGAAGACCTCTAGATGGGTCCTTTGAGTTCGGCGCAGCGACGCTAATGACGCTGGAACACAAATAAGCTTCCTGTCTTGTAGGTTATCGCACAGTTGCGTCCGGTGCCATCTGACGTGAGATCAAAGATTAATTGATGCAGACGAGACTTTGAAGTTTAAGGTCATTATTGCACTCCATCACTGTGGCGTTACTCTCAATTAAATTATGTACATGGAGTGTAATGTGCTGGCACATTTGGCTAAGGACGAAGATTCAAACCCACGTCGGACAGAATATGTGTACAAGATGAGGCGATTAATGTTTTGGGCTGATGCCACATTTTACTCTTCATAGCCAAATACAAACAAAACGATAAAACCCGCCAACAGACGAACTGTATCGAATCATGACCCCAAATTGTGACAATTCGAATCACATTCTTGGTTCTTTCGGTAAAGTCACGTAGAAGGGAAATTATAAAAATAAAACAAAATAAAATTCTCACGACATTTCGGCCACAACACAAGCAGCCGTCCTCAGGTGAAGAACAGAGCTGTCGGAAAGACAGCTTCCCAATGAACACCGCCAAGCTTGGCAGCGTATTTTTAAGCTGGGCGGGAGGAGCAAAGTGCCTTGACAAAGGAGTGCCTTTACCGAAAGAACCAAGAATATGAATCCCTGCAGTCACGAAAGCTTTAAATCGAAATTCGAATCACCTTCCCCAAATTGTGACAATTCATCATGTTTGCCCGTGCCTCTCCCTACGTCAGCCACGCGCACCTCCTTCTGGTGGTACTTGATGGCGAGCTGCAGGCGGTCGAGGTTGTACGGATTGTTGGGGTCAACGACCGCCTTGGGGTCGTCGTTGTGGTTGAGGATGATCTCGAGCTCCTTTGAGCTGCGCGTCTGGTCGAGCAGGTCCTTGGCGAAGCGCTTGCACTGCTGCGACAGCTCCTCGTACTCGGACTTGAACTCGTTCTCCACCTTGCTCAGCTCCTTGAGCTCCCAGCTGAGCTGGAAGGCGGTGAGGATGGGGTCTTCGCTGGAGAGCGCCACCAGCGACGGGCTGGCGAGCGCGCGGTAAATGTTGAGGCGGGAGCGCGAGTGCCGCAGGCTGTCCACCTCGGAGCTCGACACGCACTCGACGCACGAGCAGCGCACGGGGTGCGGCCGCGGGATGGAGACACCGCGCCGCACCAGCAGCTTGATGATCTCGTAGTTGTTGGCGTGCGCCGCCAGCACGATTGGCGTGATGTCGGGCGTGAACTCCGAGAACTGGCGGTCGAGCAGAACGGGCGGCACCTGCGGTGGCACGCGTGTTCGCGCGTTCGTTGCGTGCATGCGTGTGCAGGATTTTAAACACGAAAAGTCGGAGGCAGTGAGAAAGCCAGGCCCTGTGGCGTTAATTTTGATTAAAGGGGATGTATGCTAAATTCGGGGAGAGCGGGGAGCAGTAAATGTTAAACGAACTTTGAACGAATCTTAAATGCTAAACGGTGAATAATAATTGACGTGTGACATCAAAATAACTTTATTTAATGCTTTGCAGCCCCAGGAATGGCTTCGCGAGCACCGGCCCCTGTAGTATGACTTCGTGCTAAGTGGGGGCATGTTAAATCTCACAGGGGTGGCTGGGTGGGGGGGCACGGCACAACGCGGTCAACGCGAAACAAAGTCTCAACAAATGTTATACGCAAGCAGAATGAGTTAACGATACGATCTGCCGTTGCCTGAAATGCATCTCACCCTGAATGTATATGAGGATATATATTGCGCCGTTGTTTTTAAAGACATTGTACTCACCGCAGAGAACTGCAGCGACACGACCACACTCTCCGATAGCTGGTACTTTATCTGTACCTCACGCCCTTCCGCATGGCCTTGTTGGTGCCAAGGAACCGATTCAGTTATTTTAAATAACCTTTTTGATGACGTACATGTATGTCATTGGAACGGGATCGGGAGAAGATTGTCAAAGGAGGGCTCAGCCTTCAGCAGCGGGGGCTCAGCATAGGTGGAGTTTTTTCTTTTATAGTTGGGGAGGCAGGAGTTCGCTTTGTCCCTCACATTTTGAATCACAGGTGCATATCATTAATACAAATGTAATATGAATTGTAAACTAAATTTCGAATTTAAAGCTTTCGTGACTGCAGGGATTCATCTTCTTGGTTCTTTCGGTAAAGTATTTTATTATGTTTTTTTATTATTTTATTATTTCCCTTCTACGTGACTTTACCGAAAGAACCAAGAAAATTGTAAACTACTGAATATAAATCCATGAAGGTGTCCAGTTTTGGAGGGGCATTGCCCCCCCCCCCCCCCCGCAAACTCCGCCCATGGGGCTCTGCCATCTCCAGAAAGCCACTTTCAGCTTAATTGCACAAACGCAGGGTGATGATGATGATGATGAGAATGTCAACACTCGCAGTCTCCAGGGCGGGTAGTTGGTTCACTCGGGTTCATTGTGGCCTCGTCGGAACACGAATTGAGAACGTGCGAGCTCCTGGCACCTGGATGTGGGCACTCGACTCGTAGGCTTACCTACGTGACTTTACCGAAAGAACTAAGAGTATGAATCCTTGCAGTCACGAAAGCTTCAAATCTAGAATTAGGCTTAATCAGCTTCTCAGGCGGAGTGGATCGCAATTCACACGCTCACCACGAACCGCATGGAGAAATCCCCGCTGTTTTTTCAGTTTCAAGGTCACAAGGGCAGCGCTTCGTAGATGTATTGTGTCAATGGTGTGCGGTAAGCCCTTTGCAGTGGATGAACGGAGAATTGTATACAAAGTGCAGCGTCAGAGAGGGTCATAGCAGTGACTGCAATAAATAGCGATGTGAAGGTTTCATCTATCAGTACATTTATCTGGCGAGACTGTTTTAAAGATTGCAAGATGTTTGACCACCTCTTGATATGGCTTGTCAGCAGCACAATGATTATATAAAATTAACTTCAGTTTCTTGTCTCAGCACTTGCTTGGGGAGTTTTTTTTGTCATACAGAGACCAGTAAGAGCTCATTTTATCCAGAGAGGATCATGAAGCTATGACATTGATGATGAGCTACAGATAACCTTTGGCCGTGCTAATCGCAATGAGGTGAGGTGCTACCTGCCAAAGTACAGCGGAGGACAAATCCAAATGAGGCTTCCAATCACGAAAAAAAAACCTCAATACATTATTTATAATACTGTGTCCCTGAAAGGGAAAAAATATATCTCAGTCGGTGACGTTTTTGGCTATGGACCTTCTTCATAGCACACAATGGGGCTTCATGTCACTCATGCAAACGCCGCTTCATTAATTATGACAGTTTTAAAAAATCGACAAAGCCACCATAGGACAGGCGGATAGTGGCTTGCGTGGCAATATAAGACTGAAAAATAAATAACATAGTAAAATAAACTCCCTGTGCCAGTTCTAGATTTGAAGCTTTCGTGACTGCAAGGATTCATACTCTTAGGTTTTTTCGGTAAAGTCACGTAGGTAAAAATAAATAATGAAAAATAAAAATAAAATAATAGAAATAACATTTTTATTTCTATTATTATTTCTATTATTTTATTTTTATAATTTATTTTTACCTACGTGACTTTACCGAAAAAACCTAAGAGTATGAATCCCTGTGCCAGACCACTCGCTCTTCCCCAAGCTACTGAACGAGGAGTTGCAATGGCATCGGCTGCATTTATACACATCCCCAAGGTGCCTAAACGTATTTATTGAATTGCCATCTTTGCAATAAATCGGTGTAGTGTTCGATAAAACCACACATCATTCGGAACAGTGGCCCACCAAGTGTTGGCTAGGGAGAGAAGAGACGTAACAGCACTGTCTTGTAACGTAACAACAACAACATCAATAACAAACACACGGTTTTACTGCACTTCTACAACTGATTTGCAAAAAAATGGCCCACATGTTCAGTTTCCTTGAGCTGGTGGTCTAGATAAGGCTGAGTGAGCCATTGCACGATACACCCCGCTGGTCCTAACGCGGCTGTCTGGCTTAACCACCTAAATGTGAAATTGGAGTTGTTGCTCTGCGCCTCCATCAGCCACACGAAAGCAGAAGTAGTAGAATAATTTTTACTTAAATCTTTCGTGACTGCAAGAATTCAAATCCTTTGGTCTTTTCGGTAAAGTCACGTATATAGAAAAAAAACCCCATGACATTTCGATCACAACACAAGCGGTCGTCATTAGGACCGCTTGTGTTGCGATCGAAACGTCGTGGGTTTTGTTATTCTTTTCTACCGACGTGACTTTACCGAAAGAACCAAAGAATAAGTAGAAGAGTGTGGGGCAATATTATACTGACCGAGTCGACATCTGATTGCGATATTGAACTTGTAATCGTCGAATCGTGAGTCGAGCGATCTACCAACAGGTGCCACCCGACCAGGTTAAACAAGGACACGGGAGGGGGGGCGGTCTTTGCCGAGGTGGTCAGATGGCGCCGATGAGATCCTGACGGCAATGGCACAATTGAAATAAAATTGGGATAAAATAACATATTGAACAAACAGTGTCAACATGCTCAAGATCATTGAATAGCGATCGTTTATACCGAAGATTGCGGAGCCCACGGCTGAAATCAATAGTGACATTCCAAGGCAGAGTAAATACGATATAATTTTCACGTGACCTCCCTTGCTAGTATCAAAATATAAGAATAAGTTTTACCCTTTTAGCGTCCTCTGGTCTAACACTGTTTGAGACTAGGCTCTAAAGAAAGCTGTCTCTGGTGTGGACCAATCAGTTTCAAAGACAATGCATATACTATACAATTTGGTTATTTCGGTAAAGTCACGTAGGTAGAAAATAATTATAGATCACGACGTTTTGATCGCCACACAAGCTATGCGACTTTACCGAAAGAACCAAAGAGTGTGGATTCCTGCAGCCACGAAAGCCTCAAATCAAGAATGCATATACTGTCATAGAGCTTATTTTTGGTTTGCATGTTCACCACAAGTGTTTAATGCATACATGACTCCTTGCAAAAGGTTTCTGTTTGGTGCTTTAACATCTTAACACAACTGTGTTATTGCCAGAAAGGGCCAAACGTATTCTCATACAATCTAATGTGTTTTGTTATGTGAAATCATAACCATCGTCTTATGGCTATGGCAAAGCCATTAATTGGAAAATAGAGAATAGACTACGTGTTTATTAATGGACTGCTATAGAATACTAGAGAGCCCACTAGGAGCGATTTGATCTTGCAGAGACTATCGGTTTTATTGAGTGCTGAGACAGCTCCCTGTCGATTTGGAGTACACCGGTGTTGAACAAATGGGGACGTTTCAGCCTCTTTATATACTGCATCTAAAATCTCATTTCAATTTGTAATGATCAGCCTCCGCTAGAAAGAGCTCTTCAGAATCCCTCTGGAGGTGAACAGAGAAGATTTTTTTCCACGCTCGCCACACGTCTTAGAAGAGGTACCCGCACTTTACCCCACTACACGGGAACTGCAAATCTACTAACTCTTGGGTGCCAATTTATACTGGTGGGTGGATAGAAGCGAGGGGGGGGGGGGTGATTTAAGCAACTTGCCCATTGTTTCAACTGCTCAGACCGAGAGGTCAAATCGAACTGGCGACCTTTGGATTGCAAGGTACGGTGTGCTAACCATTACGTAATGGCAGCTCCACAACTGAGTTTAAAAAAAATATCCCAAAGCACCATTCCAAATTGTCGCTCAGATTGCCGATGGTGATGTTTGTTTTGATTCGTTAACAGTCTCCATCACGTTGAAAAGCGAAAGACGGATCGTGACATGGATCGTGTAAACGTTTTTTTTGTTGTGGGGGATTTTTATGATGCTTTAGTTCCCGTGAGACGCGCAGCCTCCAATCGATAGCCCTTCTGACATTTGACAACATCTGTAGATTTTTCATGAGCATGGCAGCATTGCCTTGAGTTATGTACACACGAGGGATGAGTTTCAGATTAAAATATATCGGAATTGGGATATTGGGATTTTCAAGGACACTTTCGGATGTTTTTTGGGTATTTGGATCCTTTGCATTGTGATGTATACTGCACATTTATGTGTCTGTACAATAGCAAAAGCGTCGTCACCATTTTGGCGGGAGAAATGTGAAAATAATGACCAATTATTGGCTTCAGTTCTGGTTTTGGATGAATGCAAAAGCATCACAGATTTTAGATCGTCTGAAACTTTGGATCTCGGCTTAATTTTCGGGTTTTTGGAACAATCAAATATCACAAAATTTGATCGCAGCCTTTTTACAGACTTTTATTTCCACGTGCTTTGACACGTGGCCTGCTTGTGCTTCTTTTTCAGCGCTATGGGTGCCTTTCAGATTTAACATTTTCATATTTTCATATATTTTTTTGCAAAGGCAATTTTGGACCTCTTTTCGATGTATTGTCGATGTACATTTAGAGTTAACCACACACAAAGGGGCGCTGCATTGGCTGATGTAGGTGCAGAGCAACAACTCCAATTTCACATTCAGGTGGTCAAGCCAGACAGCCGCGTCAGGTGAAAAGTCAACAGTGGCCATCCTGTAAAGAAACTCTCTCCCATCTTGACAACGATGAATTTCCATCGCTGGCCCTGGGCCTGCGATGGACACAAACACAGCCCCAATTGAGCAGTGAGACACTCTGGGTATCGTTCACATCTCCCCTGTTGGCGGTGGAGGCACTGCCACATTTTTGTGTGTGGATAAATCCGATAAAAATGGGCAATCGTGAAGTTAGGGAATGAGGAAGGCTTAATTACTCACTGAATATTTTCTGGATTGCTGGTCGATTGCAGTAGTCGGCACATGGCAAGTAGCCATATCCACAACAACCCAGACTTGCATTGACTGACGTCACACGCAATGAGCGCGTCACCCACCCGTACCCTGCCCCGAGTTGCCCCCCAAATCAGACTCAGATGTCTTGCGAGGCCAGCATAATACAGCTTGGCAAATAACCAGTGCCAAACTATCCCACACAAGTCAGTTTCCCGTGGTGGCTCGGCTTGGCGAGTGGAACAACATTTTTTTTTATTCGTAATTAAAGTTGGCTGTTGGCGGTGTGCGCGTTCAGCTTGAGACGCCGAGCTCCTTACGCCGGCTCGGCTCAGGATGTGCCAGTGGGGCAGAGGTCGCAAACGGGTTTTGATTCCTTACCCGTACCCGGCCGCACCAGGGTTGCAAACGACTACCCGTACCCGTACCCGGCCCGGCCAGATAGTCGGGTATCGGGTAGGGTACGGGTATCGGGTACCCGGTTGCGACCTCTGCAGTGGTGGACACAAGGAGTGGGGTGCGGGTTGCGGTGTACTTTTGACCTCGACTCATACCTGCTTGTCACCCCGGGGCTTCTTGTGGTTGAGCAGCAGCTCGACTGCTCCGACCACCTCCTTGCGGATGGCGTGGAGCAGCGCATCGCCCACGAACACGTTGCTGCTCAGCAGCAGCTCGATCACCTCCAGGTTCTCGTTCTCGATGGCGATGAGCAGCGCGCTGCGGCCCAGCGGGTCGGTGCAGTTGATGTTGATGTTGAAGTAGATCTGGGCCTCCTCGAGGGAGCGCTTGACGCCGGCGTAGTCGCCCTTGTCGACGGCGCTCAGGTAGAGCTTCTCGGCGGGCGACAGCTCGGCCTCGGCGCGCACGATGCGCAGCGGGATGCGGTCGCGGTAGGGGGCTTGCTCGCTGCGCTTGTAGTAGAGTTGGGCCATGTTCGCTGGCCGGCCTGCGCGCGGCCGACAAGAGGACACGTGCACTCTCACGTCGTGTCGGTTGGAAAACTCACTTTTTTTTTAGAACTTTCGTGATGAATTTCGTTTTTTTTAGTTTGTTGTCATTCACACCCCCGCACCTCTGATTTTAGCACGGTTGGCTACGTACGGTGCGAAAGAAGTTCAGCATACGTACGTGCACGCAAGGCAAACGGCGTGGCGGACAAGATGAGCTGTGCACTTTTAAATCGTCAGGATTGAAAACTGGCTTCTTTAGAGCAGATTTTTGTGTTTTTGTGTCCTCCCGCACCTCTGATTCTAGCACGGTTGGCTACGTACGGTGCTAAAGAAGCCCAGCACGAGCACACACGTACACGCAAGGTGGTTGGCGGTGCTGGCGGGAGAGGCGCGGCTGAAGCACAGCAGCACGACTGGAATTACGGTCTCAAACTTGCCACATTTAAAAATAATTCGCTAAGATAACCAATTGGAGTGAAGTCACTTAGCAACGTGGCCCACCCCACCACCACCACCGGCCCCCCTCCCCCTGCTGTCAAACTACTGAAGATTATAATTGTCTGTGACACGTCGCGTCTTTACGATAACCGTGCACTATGAGGCTGGCACAAATACCAGATGTACTTATGGTTGGCTTTCATGGGTCCTTCTGTTGCGTAGACGTACGCGTGTAAGATCTCATTTGCTCATGTTCAAATGTATAGTCAAGGCCGTAATTATAATATATATTGGGGGGGGGGGCACATCCCCCCCCCAATATTTAAATATGCTTAAAATGTCCCCCCCCAATATATTGCTATAAAATAGATTTCTGTTTATATGATTGTGGTTATGGTTGTACTTTATGAATCCCTAATCTCTGCCATTACATACAATGAAACAAGAAAAGGTAAAAAGAAAAACAGAGCAATGTAATACAATACACTATTAGACATTATTGTAATTTTTTAAAATAAAAAGTCCATCCTATGTGTTAGTGAATGTTTTAATATTTTAGGCAGGAAATGGCACGAAATTCGTTTTCAAATTTAGATTTTCTTCTGGAGCGGGACCTCCAGACCCCTGGAAGATTTGGTCCCCCCCAATGTTGACTCCATGGCTACGGCCTTGTGTATAGTTATTGGTTCACTCGCCCAGATGTCACGATGGGAGCAGTTCCTAAAATGAAAGGATGTATTCTGAACGTTGTGTATTGTAATAAAATGATGTTAAATAATAATTACAGCCCTTTGCCAATCCACTGCTGGAGGAAGGCTTCTTCCACACAGGAATTGTTCACTGGGGTTCATAATCAACGTTTTTGGGTTTAGATCGCGTTATTTATAAATGTGTCGTGACCCTCCACCACCCGGCCGGGTACGGGTAGCCGTTTGGGACCCTGGTGCGACCGGGTACGGGTACGGGTAGGCCGTGAGTCACTGGTGCGTAACCGTTTGTCACTCATTTCGCGTAGGGTACGGGTACGGGTCGGGAACGGGTACCCTTACCCGGCCGGGTACGGTACCCTTACCCGGCCGGGTACGGGTACCCGTTTGCGACCTTGGTGCGGCCGGGTACGGGTAGGCAGTGAGTCACTGGTGAGTAACCGTTTGTCACTCATTTCGGGTAGGGTACGGGTACGGGTAGGGAACGGGTACCCTTACCAGGCCGGGTACGGGTACCCATTTGCGACCCTGGTGCGGCCGGGTACGGGTACGGGTAAGGAATCAAAACCCGTTTGCAACCTCTGCCGCGGATGCGACTCAAACTCAGCTTGCTCGAGTGCAATGCTCTCACGTCTGCCCCATCGCTTCCCCATTCAGCCATCTCACTGCAAAACAACCTTTTAGGTTTCCTAAACGCAACAGTCGAGGTAAGCGTGATGAATTTCAGTGACGCAGTCACTGGGAAGGCTTGACGTCGCTAATTGAATAACACTTAGCACTTTATCTGTAATCAAAGCCCGCTAAATTATAGATGTCAATAACAATGCCAAGGTAAATAATTTAAATGATACAATTACTCTACTGCCGTGTAGGTTTAGTATCGATGTTATTTATATATATGCCCTGAAGGATTTCATGGCTCGCCGATAATTTAACCCCAGTGACGAGTCCAAATATGAGAAGCAGTAATCAATTGCATGTGTTGCTTTCGCTGCGTTTGATTATGAATAAATATATTTTTTAAAATAGCAATTTATATACGAGGCTCTGAAGGGGTAGTCGCATGTCGGTTTCATGGAATAGCCGTCACACACCGTGGCAAATGCAATTGCCCCAGGATGTAATGACACCTACTTAGCCACATGAGAAGGATTTTCATGCCCAGCAGAGGCTATGCTATGTCCGTACGAATCACTTCGAATTCACAGGGAGACATTCCAATCACGTGTTTTACCTTGGTACGGTCACGTGGTTTGGAATGACAATGGAATGACCTAGAGAGACCTAAAATATTCTTCTGGTTCTTTCGGTAAAGTCACGTATAAAGATAAAATAATAAATTAAATAATAGCATACGACGATTCGATTGCAACACAAGCAATCATCATCAGGTATAAATGAAATAGCAACAAAAATCTAACCAGAAAACTATAGACAGACATATAAGCAGACAGATATCACCAAGATACATAGAGGGAATAACACAGGTACAGAGAGGGGTGATCGTCTCTGTGGGGTGGCCTTAAATAGACAGAGGGGGGCCACCCCACAGAGACGATCCCCCTCTCTGTACCTGTGTTACTCTCTCTATGTATCTTGGTGATATCTGCCTGCTTATATGTCTGTCTATAGTTTTCTGGTTAGATTTTTTGTTGCTATTTCATTTATACCTGATGATGATTGCTTGTGTTGCAATCGAAACGTCGTATGCTATTATTTAATTTATTATTTTATCTTTATACGTGACTTTACCGAAAGAACCAAAGAATAATTCCTGCAGTCACGAAAGCTCCAAAATTAAGATAGACCTAAAATAATTCGAGGCGTGTTGATGGTCCATGGTAAGGCCCGTGTGTTATTAATTATCCGTAAAAGTAAACCCTAAATGGAGCACTAAAAATAGGAATGTCTCGTGCAGTTGCCTAATCTGCTTCCGAGACGAAAAAAAAATTGGCGGGTATTAAAATTGCTCCCCGTAAAAATATTGACATTTTACAATTCGAAACGTGACCACCACGTCACCTGGAATGGCGATCATCAACGTCTTCGTAGAGCCAGTCGAAAACATATCACGTTCCATGTGACCTGAATATCGGGGTTTCCAACCTTGTGATTTAAACAAATATGAACAAAGATCGCGCGTAAAAAAAATAATAATATGTACAGCACTGCAGATTCGTGCACACGTACAGCCCCGTTGGTCTCCATCCACTGCTGGGGGGGGGGGGGGGGGGGGCTATTCGAGCATATACAACACGAAGGCTTTAGCGACCAATATTATTTACAAAATTATGTTGGCGGCGATCTAACCCAAAAAACCTTCATTACATGACCATACTTCACCATGTTCGGGGCGGAGTTGGCGAAGGCGTGAAGCGCAGATGCGTTTGAAGGAGAGGACGCACGGAGCTACGCTTGACTTTGCTCCACTGCTGCCCTCTCTACCGCTCACCACGTAGGCAACCGCAGCCAGCCCCTTGTCACACGCTGCGTGCGCGACCGACTGCGTCGCTGTGACCTCAACGCCAGGCTGTTGCTCAAGTCGCCCTCCTTTTATACCACCTCGTTCTCCGTACACCGCAGAGGCAACGGGTGAACTAGCAGTGTGAATGTAACGCACCATCAGCTGAGTCCGGTGGCAGTAAGGCATTTACAACCGGCTACTGCCGCTGTTGTAGAGTCCGTTTGCCGTGCAATTTTGCTGTTGCTACTGCGCATGCTACTTCCATACAAGCCGCCTGTTCCGTGGCAAGCAGTTGGTACGGAATCGCAATCGTCGAGCATGACAGCTGCACCCGCTTGGTGAGAACGTTGCCCACCCTGTTACATGCCCACTCATGAGTCCTCATTCACTGCCTGCCTTCGGTGTGGTCTACGGAGATCAGATGGAGACTCGAGCAACGACTGCAAAGATGAAGTCACACACGCATTCGTGGGCCGAATACGTTTCAGAAATGCATTTTAATCAAGTCTGCGGAAAGCTCAAATCAAAGCACCATTCATGCTCAACCCAGCTTAGCTGCTGCGATCTGATAAGTTTCGGCAGTCGGGGTAATTTGGTAATTTGCACTTCAAAGTCATATTAGCTGGCAAGCCGTTTTAATTGGACAACATAATCAAGCCGTACAATCAATTGAAAGAGTAAAATAGTAGGCAGCACGAAAGCGCAGTGGTAACGCTTTGTGCTTCGCAGCAACAGGCGCCTGGGTTTGATTCCCGACCCGGGCGACTCTGTGTGGATTTCTGTGTGTGTGGGATTCCTCCTGGTTTCCCCGATTTCCTCCCACAGCTAAAAGAAACCCACACGCACAATGTGTAACTGATAATTGACAACAACAACAACAAAAACATACCAATGCTGAAACATTACTTGCAAATTAACCCAATCGGGATAATACATAGCAACATTGCCCCCTGCTGTGAAAAGTTGGCTGGAACATCCTGAAAAAAGAGTTGAGAATTAGTGAGGCTCTGCTGGGTAAACACGCGTAGCAGTAGTGATAATAATAGCAAGTGCTGAGGGATATAAATATTGCATCTGAAATATTGACTGTCCATGCTAATCGCGTATGGGTGGTAACCCTACCTGAATACCACCCAGATATTAACACATTCCCGCGGAGGGAGCTGGTAGGAACGTTGGGTTGCTCGGTCAATGGCCAGGGTCAACGGCGGCGTGGTGTATTCCGTAAATATGGCCGACTGTGAGGGCGGGCACAATCCGGCGTGAGTAGGTTAAACGTTGAGTTTTATAAGGGTACCACGGGGTGACCAGCCCCTCTCCACCCAGCCCCACCCCCCACCCAGCCCCACCCAGCCCTTCCCCACCCTCCCCTCCCCACCCAGCCCCTCCCTCCCCACCCAGCCCCTCCCTGCACGACGGACACGATAATCCCATGTGGGCTGCTGTAACCAGGAGGTTCCTACCAGTATAAATTGTACTTGAACCACTAGGCATCACAGGGTGATTACTTTATAGAGATCCCATTGAATTAGTGCCTTAAATTGATGATCCATTTACGTAAAAAAAAACATTTCCGACAGGTGATTTTATTTTGTTATATTGTTAAAGTGATGATGGCTTCCATATCTTACAGAGGTGGAATGGTCCCAACATTTAATATAAATATTAAGATTGGTGGAAGGTGTGTAGAGGCTTTGAAATAAAATGTTGTCTCAAATAATATATATTCCCTGTTTAATTAGAGTGTCTCTGTTGGGAACAGAGGGGGAGGGGGTGTACCTATATACAATACTATTCCTGCCTACGGACAACACCAGTGACGTTCATATGAACCGGTCCTGGCCTTCACCTACATCGACTCAGCCTCCAATGAGTATCTCGTGCGGTGTGTAAACATCGCCACGGGGGAGACAAAGCCGGCCGGGCGTGCTCCTGGCCACCCACTCTCCTGGTATGCCGTTCCGCCCTTCTTAGGCGCTGTTAAGGCTATACGGGGGGGGGGGGTCTTTGTCTTGTGGCTCCGATAAACGAATGCGTTGCTCACGATATGTCTTGTCGTTCTTAAATTTGGAGCTTTCGTGACTGCAGGAATTACTCTTTGGTTCTTTCGGTAAAGTCACGTAAAAAAAGATAAAATAATAAATGATGCTATTATTTAAATTATTATTTTATCTTTATACGTGACTTTACCGAAAGAACCAAAGAGTGATGTGTCTTGTCGTGTCGTGCCGTGGGAGTGGAAGCTACCACCAGGTGGCGGCACAGAAGCACAGTTCAGGGGCAAAAATCCCATCCTCGGTCTGCCACGCACAACGCCAGTCGGCCGTATTCGTCAAACGCACCGTTTCTATTTTGGCCAGAATATAAAAAAAGACCAAACAAACACCCCATCAACTAATAAGTTAAACGAAAATATGTGCACCCGAAGCATCGACAGGCACGCCAACCAGTCGCATCAACAATACTCCTCCTAGCACCTTATTAATTATATTTTAAAAAATCAATACACCATACGGCAATTAATAAAATGAAAACCTCCCTTAATTTCTAAGCGAGTTGAGCCTTCAATGTGCTGTTGATGGGTGGCCGCTAAAGCCCAAGCAGGTTCGCCGCAGGGCTGCGTGAGCCACGTCGCTTTTGAACCAGCGTCGTTATCCGAACGTAACTGCATCACCACTCTCCTACCCCCACCGCCATCGCGGGATCGGTGGTTTTAATAGTTATCCACAACCTCTGCAACTAACCGAAGAGAAACCCGAGGGTTAATTATGCACGGATAAGGCGTCCCTCGTGGAGGGCATTCGCGCGCTCGTCGTGTTGAAAAGGGCCCCTAAGCTCGCTGCTGCTCCGTCGAACAAAGACGAGCAGCAGCCTGTGTGATTGTGACCGACGCGGGCAGAGATTAGAGCGAGAGAGGAGAGAGCGAGAGACATGATGAATGAATTTCGCGTTTCGCGGTTCGGGAGCGATATCGCGATGCACCGGTCCTTTGTGCCGCGTCTGTTGCGTGCCTCTCCGGACGCATTGTTCGGAGTCATCACCGGAGCAGCCCGCTCCATCGCTCCATCGCTCGCTCGCTCCCTCTGCCTCTTTGGCGCCTCGTTTTGGAGCCTCTTAGCGATCACCACGTGCCGAGCCGGTCCAAAGTAAAGTGCGCACTTGGGGACAGGGCGCGTCGCTCAGAAGGGATGGTGGGCCGACGGTCGAGAAAAATGAATGACTGATTGGCGATCCAACGAACGAAACGTGGCCAGGTGGAGGAAGTCCGCCCACCGATAAAAGATGCAGCGGTGAAATGAGCTCGCGCGCGTGACGCTGCTTGCTGGTTATTATCATCATCATTAACATCGCAAGAATCGCGAGCAACGGAAGCAGCTTGTGGAGGCCTTCATTCAGCGTTGGATCGATCATGTCTGCTGCTGACGATGATTAAACGAACAACTAAAACGATGCACCGGCTCCACGATGAGCGAGACGCTTTCTCGACAACCCGTTGCGTTCTCCGCGCCCATTGTATCGTAAGCACCGATCTCGAATTCTCGCAGCGCACGCAGCCACGATGATCAAAGTCACCTGTTGAAGCCTTCGCGTTTCACAGGCGGCGGCATAGTACAACAACAACAAGAAGAAGAACCACAAGCCGAAGTGTGAGTGAGCTCACGGCTAAGTAAACACATTCAATATTGGCGAGCGAGCAACCACGGACGTGGGTCGAATCTCAATTCCACGTTTGACGGACACTTTATAAAATATGCAAAATAACACGTCCCCCCCCCCCTCTTTCATTCTTCATCCCTCCGGTCCATCTGGTCACACCACTCAAACAAGGGGCATCCCGTTTGTTGTACCCACACGGCAACAACAACGAAAACTCAAGCAAGACATAAACATCGCTTTCTGCGCGTTCAGATCGTCGCTGTGGCAAAAGTGGCCTGGCAACAAACGGGGGGGGGGGGGGGTCATGCAATCGAGCCGATGAAAGTATGCGGAGTGATGTTTCGTGTGTGGAACAAGGAGGTGAGGGGCCAAACCAACCCACCGTCATTTGTGCGCTGCGTAGGCAGGACGTGAAGCGAGACCCGAGGGTGCGACACGACGGCTCGTCGTCCTTTGGGGTTCTTGGACTCTTGAGGAGCTCATGACAGTGCCCGGAGCTCAGTTGCTGTTGCTGTTGTTGTTGTTGTTGCTGGTGGTGGTCGTCTGCCGTGGTCACTTATCCACGCACGCATTGCGCTTTGTCCGTGCGATGGACGGACGCTCCGTGCGTCTCGCGTTCGATCCGCTGCGCTGTCGTTGAAGCGAACAAAAACATCATCACCATTATCATCAGCAGCAGCAGCCGCAGTAAACAAAGCGGATGCGGCACCTGTACCGTAATGAGATCATGTGCATGTATATTTAATAATAATAATAATAAAACACGTACAAAGATACAGCACAGCGCACATCAAAGTCGCTCTTCAAAACAAAAGCGTCCTAATGATCAATGTTTGCAAAACACAATTGCAACTAATGTAATACCTGAATTCAGTCTTCTTGTCGTCCAATGGCTTGGCAAGACGAGAGCGCATTGATACGATCTGGTGAAAACTGCATATTTGAAATCATACTGGCACGGACAGGCACACCGGTTGTTGTTACAATGGTAATTGTCGTCATCATTATCGTTGCGCTGGAACGTCCACGGTACGCAATACGGGCGACTGTGCAAGCGGCATCCCTTGAAGCCGCGCGCGACTCCGTTCCTGCGGCTCCGCGTGCACGCGCGCGCGCCTCCTCCTCCTCCGGGTCTGTGCGAGTGCCCCGTGCCTCTTACTCATGCGAGTGAGTGGGGCTGTGTGTGTGTGCGCGTTCTGCGCGCTCCTCCCCGTACAACACTCCCCCACTCTCACAGCCGCTGCGTGCGTTCTCCGCTGCAGTAACACTGCACGTGTGTGTGTGTTGTGTTTGTCTCTGTCCGCGCGCACGCGCGCACTCTCGTACGAGGAGCTGCAGTGAGGTGGTTAGCGCGACGCTGCGTTACAAAACCGGTGGCTCGAGTTCGATTCCAGCTCACGGCCAACACCAGTGACGGTGATGTGAACCGGTCCCTCGGAACTCCCCTAGGTCGAATAAGGTTCAAACGAGTACCTGGTGCGGTTTGCAAACATCGCCACTGGGGAGATGAAGGCAGTCGGGCGTGGTGCTGGCCACCCAACCCTCATGTGCCGTGCCGGTCTTCATCATCATCATGCAGTCCGTCCCCAAGGACGACGGCCTTCATCGGGGCTCGCTTACAGCCCTTGTCCCAAAAGTCTGTAAATGCTATATGGGGATCTTTGTCTTTGTACTGTCGTTAATGGTAATGACATTATAGTATTCGTTTCGTCGGGCCCGACGCTGCTGATGGGACGTAGCACGTCGAACCCCGTCCAGAGTGTTCTTTTTAGACAAACGGTGGCTGTTAACACAAGCATTCAAGGCTCTCTAGTCGAGAGACTGAACCAATTTAGATATACAATTTAGATAGACAATACGGTCGATTAATTTCTCACGTAGACTGCTCACGAGCGCAGATTGTGATTTCTTAGGCACACTATAGCACCGCATCATGTGCAGTAGCGGCAGATAATGCGGTAATTCGCTCAATTGCACTGAAACGCATTCGTATCAACTTCCATTTTCTATCAACTGCTAGATGGAGTGACTCCTGCCATCACCGTCCTTCGCGGCGCCGCAATAACAATCCATCTCACGCATGCGTATGCACGGATCTCCTTGGTGCGCAGTGCGCAGTGAAGATGTTTTCTGCATGCACACACATGAATAAAACACGCGAATTAATGTCGCCGATATTTCGTAATTCAGACACCTGCGCATTCACGAGGCATTGCTTGCGGCGTGGGCTGTTACGTGCACGCGTGCACGCGTACATCGAGAAAGTCGCTTGAGACGAGATTCATTTCCCATCTAATATTTCCCGGGTCACTGATAGACCGCTGTAGGGACGCGACTATTAGCTACAGCCATAGCTGGAGCGTGTACTGAATGTGGTGTGCCGCTGACTGAACTATTTTTTTCCTTGTCGCCAACCCGAACGGACCCGCCTGACACGAAGCGTTGACCTCAGGTATATAGGAAGCGCACATTGCACGCGGACGCATTCGAGCGGATTGCTGCACGTGGCGTGTCGTGCGGGAAAAATAAACCCATCGGTAAACAGAAAACACCACGAGCCGACTGAACCTCCTATCATTCTCCGTGGTGGCTAATCCACCGATACTCTAAATAATTGGAGTGGTGTTCTCTTACCGCTGGCAATCCTTTTTGGCTCGAGCCCATTGTTTAAATAACGCAGCGAAAGAGAAGACGCATCTCTCTCCTCCACTGCGTACGATTCGGTCACGCAATATTGACTCTGCGTGCCTACTTATGTATGTTTAATTAAATTTGATGGCTTAAAATCCGCGCTTATAACTCTTACTCATGCCCCATAGTCACGATGTTAGGCCGGTCCACTCAGTATGCTAGTGCCAAGATTAAACGGAGTCCCAACATGCTCGTGTATTTATGGCAGACGCTATATATATATTAATAAAATGCTGTGGATTGTATTACGCTCATAGGCAATAGGCTTAAAGGTCATATAATTGTAGGGGCGCCACGGTGGCGAAATGTTAACTCCCTCGCCTGGTATGCAGCAGGTCGTGGGTTCGATCCTAACTGTGATCCAGGTCCTCCGGGTTTTCCCTCCACATTTATTATAATTGACGTGCGTTTGGAGTATTTGGCTGCTGTACATTTCCACGATAATCCACTTCGGTGAGCTTATCATTGGTGTGCCAGGTCGCTTCTGAAAAAAAATATAGCTAAGTGTGCTGTCATCATGGGACCCCCTTTGCCAGCACCAAAATATGAGAATAGGTTTTCCCCGTTTTTCTGGCAACAAAAGTGTGTGTAAGCGTGCTTTACCTAATGACAGTAGTTTTAATAATACTATGTTTTAGATGTGGAGACGAACTTGTGCCCGTAATTGTAATACCAAGATATATCCATGCATCAATATCGATTTTCTCAGATCACCATCTCTTCTCCAGCTCTTTGTCAGTCTATTGCTCAATGAAGCCATGCATGCTCCCCACGCCGTATCGGTCCTGGGGGTTTGTAAGGCCATACGATGCTAACTACTTACAGTAAGTACACCCGTCTATATTATCGGTATGCACATACGTAATCCTTGTCCCAGCAGTCTCTTCGAGGTGCTACACGGAGGGATATTTTTTATTTTGTTTTGTGTGTACGATTATGAAACCGCGTTGGGCGAGGGCGGCTTTTGCAGGCACACTCGCTCGCAGCCGAGTCGAGCACGGAGAGCTGTCCATGGTACTAAAACAACCGCCTCTTGCGGCCCCTGACGTGTTAGTCGCTCCCACCGAATTGGAGGGCTGCAGTACAGCACAACCGTGAACATATACGCAAGGGGCTGTGCTGAATTACACCCTCTCCTTTTAACGCTTTCACTTTCGCATTTCATCAACGCGATAGGAAACGGTTGTCACGCCAGGGTCACACACACAAAGACAAAGATCCCCCGTATAGCCTTAACAGACTGTTTGGGCAAGTGCTGTTAGCAAGCACCTAAGAAGGCCGGCACGGCACACGAGGGGGTGGGTAGCCAGCACCACGTCCGACCGCCTTTGTCTCCCCAGTGGCGATGTTTACACACCTCACCAGGTACTCATTTGAAGCTGAGTCAACCGAAGGGAGGCCCAGGATCGGTTCAGATAATCGTCACTGGTGTTGTCCATTAGCGGGAAACGAACTCGGGTCGCCGAGTTCGTAGCGCTGCGCGCTAACCGCTACACTACCGCTCCCCACTACGCACGCACACACGTACATACATACACACACAGAGTTGCGGTGAACGTTAGATTCGTGAGTTCCTGTTTTTTTTTGCGTGGCTTGCTGCGTGCTATTAACTCATTCCGCCACCGCTATTCGTGCCCTCCGGGCAGCCGAGCACTCGGGTTCACGTCCCTGTGCATCGCCTCCGTCAGCTGGAACTTGGGAGAGGAGGGATACAACAACAAAAGGGAATAACAAGACCCTGAGTGCAATAATAGTAGCCGTCGCATTTTGCAGTAACCATCATAATAATGGGATGTTGCGTTTGAACAAGCTAACCAAACTGTTTTTTTCCTGACCCTGAAGATGCGATGTTCCGTAACCTACGTATGTGTTTACAATAACAATAATACTAATACAGGCAAAAATGTAGGGATTGGCGGTGTAGTGGTTTGCGCTTTGCTGACCATGACTAACATCAATGGCAACAATTATCTGCATCGGTCCTAGTGCCTCCCAGAGGTCAACTCGACATTAAAAATGAGCACCTGGTACAGGCATTTAAACATCACCATTGCTGAGACAACAGCAGCCAGGTGTGGTGCTGAACACAACACGCCCTCGTGTGCCGCGCCGGCCTGAATAGATGCTCGCTAACAGCACTTTCCCCAACAGTCTGGCAAAGGCTATACTGTAAGGGTAACGTGTTTGTTTATGATGATTGACTGCTTTGAATCGGACAGCTTATTCGGACTGCCGGTGTGCCTTTATTATTAGGCGCTGTCCACGGTACTAAATAACATCGCGGGTTCCTTATCCGCTCAGTAGATGAGCATATGGTGTGTCGAGATAAAAAGGCGCACTGGGGCTGCATCACACAGAGTAACAGTCCATTATAGGAAATAAAACTAATTGAATACATTTCCAAAGTAGGACAAAAACACGTTAAGACGTAAGCGAAGCGCATTTATCCCTCAAACGATGGGTAATTTTCTTACAATAAGCCCGCTTTTGTAATTATGAACTAGAAAGCCCTTTATTTACCCAGGCAAGCCTCGGTTAGTCTCATGACTGTTTTTTGGTTTGTTTCACGAGGGTCCTGCATTAGGATGTTTAACCAATTACATTCGTAGGTATTTGTCACTGAGTGCCTGGAGAAAACCCACAATGTACGCAGGCGTGAAACTCAACGCTCTGCCCGGGTGGATTCAAGAATATCATTGAAATTCAAGAATAAAATATCTGCGTATATCGTGGCAGGTTTATATTAAGTTTGCAATATTCGGTGTAGTGCATGTCAATAATTGTATTGAAATGAAAGGGGAACGCAATGGTTCACGCATTGTACCAAGTTTGATTATCTGCCACGGCTAACAGGAGTGGCAATTGCACTGGTCTTGCTTGATTCCCCTTTCTTTAACCAACCAACATGACGCATGGTCAATCAGCCTGCATGACCTGCATGACCTACACAGCCATAAAAAGGCCTTCATCCAAAAGTGGATTGACAAAGGACTGTCAATCATTATTATTAAAACACACACAGACACACTAAACAAAAGTAGATTAAAACAGAAACTCTCTAAACAGTCGACAAAGCCATTGCTACTGATGTCATTCTAACATAATGGAGCAAATCACTTTAATAGTGTGGGCAATTACATATGATTGTGTTTCTGAGTATTGCCAGTTAGCCAGGGTCTTTTGTCAATCCCGATGCATTTCATCCACATGCGACGATGATTATTTTCTTCAGTTGTTGTAAATATCTACACCCCTTGTTTCCTGCAACAGCGTTCCGCTGCATATTGTTACACTTAATCACAGTTTCCCCGCAAGGTGATGATGCTATTACCGGCATTTGCGGGCGTATGTTTACTCTCATATGAACTGCTTGTGGAGATAGGCAACGTAATTGCGAGGCACGCAGCTCTAAATACCATAGCGCACGTCAATTCCAAGTTCATTTATTAGATATAGCCCTGTGAGCCATTCGGCTCTTGAATCGGGTGCAACCGCAACAAACAAAAAACAAAAACATGAACAAAAAAACATCTTAAAGTAAATATGTGACTGAGTGCAAACAGAAAATCCAAGAAAAGACAGCAAAATATTGCAGAAAAAAACACCGTACACCAACGCTGTGTGCAAAAATC